TTGTGTTATGTGAGGTAGAAATCAGAGTATGATTTTTCCTTACAGAAATTCCATGAACTGAATTGATTGAAAAATTCTTCCTTTTTCTCACTGCACTGAAGTGTCACTCTTGTCATAAATTGTTTAAGATGTATGTGTATGTGTATATATATATATATATATATACACACGCATACAGGGAATTGAACTCAGGGCCTTATACTTGCCAGGCAGGTTTAGCTCACTTGCCGCTGAACTACATCCCAGGTCCATAAATCATGTAGCTTTATTTGTTGTGTTTATGTCTGAGTTCTGTATTCATAGACAATAGTCTATCATCAATCTATTTATCTCTCCTTGTGCCAATATCTCACTGTCGCGATTACTATAGATTTATGGTAACTCTTAGTATTTAGTAGTGTTAAATCTTCCAGCTTTTGTCCTTTAAGACAGTCTTGCTAATCCATATTCTTTGACTGTTTATATAAATTTCAGAATAGTTTGTCAATTTTCACAAAAGTTAACCTTCTTGGCTTTTTATTGATCTCAGTTAATCTATATATCTGTTTTTCAATTTTATAAAAGTTTGTATTTTATAATTTCAAAGTTTCCAGTTGATGCATATGATTTATTCCTTCATTTGCTTAAAATTTCTTTAATACTTATAAAAATATTTTTTTGGCTTTGGATAACATTATTTAGAATTTTAGCATCTATACTTATGACAGGTATATCCTGAAATTTTCCTTTCTTACAATGTTATTGTCAGGTTTTGATAAAAAGTTATACTGGCCTTGTGAAAAGATGGGAAATATTTCTGTTTCACATACTATGAACAAATTTGTTAAGACTGATATTATTCCATCTTTAACGTATTTGGATAAATGTACTAGTGAAGCTATCTAACCCTGGTGATTTATTTGTGAGAGGCTTTTAAATCACAAATTCAATTTCTTTTGAAAATTTAGCTTACTTTTGTATCAGTTTATTAAATTGCATTTGTCCATGTATGTATACATTTTGTTTAAACTGTCAATTTTGTTGACATAATGTTCATAATGTCAACTTTTAAACACTTTAAGGATATACTGTTTTGTTTTTGTTTTTTGCCTTCTTGAGACAGGGTTTCACAGTGCAGTTCAGGCTGGCCTTGAGCTCACTTTGTAGCCCAGGTTGGTCTCGAACTTGCAATGACCCTCCTGCCTCAGCCTCCTGAGTGCTGGGATTATAGATGTGTGTCATCGTGCCTGGCATGTACTGATGCCCCTTTTCATTTTCATTATTTATAATTTGTGTCTTTTCACTTTTTCTTATCAGTTGTGCCAAATATTTATCACTTTGGAATGTCTTCTCAATGAATTACCTTTGATTTTATTGATTTTCTATATTGTGTATTTCCTATATCATTAATCTCTCTTGTTTATTATTTTTCTTTTATGTTATTTGAGTTTAATTTGCTATTTTAAAAAATTTCTGGGCTATACATACTATTAAAATACACATTTAAAACACTTTCCTTGGGTGGTGATAGACTGTATTCACTTTTTATCAAATTATCCTTTGTGTGGCCAAAAGTATGGATTTTCAAAGGAAAGTCCTGTAACAAAATAGGGATATCATTTGTTACTATGACAATCTGATTTTTAGGGACAGCTTCTGTGGTTTAAAAAGTGGCCATGATTATAATTGATAATGTAATAATTTAAAATACTCAGTGGTCTGTTTGATGGTGATCGTCTTATACATACTCAAATTATATGGTAGGAAAGGCTTAGCCCTAGGGATAAGTGTGGCAGTGGCCTCAAATGATGTCATTTTTCATCGTTTTGAGATTAACCTATTATGAGAACTATATTCATTTCCTAGGACTTTCATAACAAATCACCACAAACAGTGATTTAGAACAACAGAAATTTATTTTCTGATGGTTCGGGAGACTAGAAGTCCAAAACACTGGTGTCTACAGAGCCATATTCTGTAACCTACAGGGAAAGAATCCTTCCTTACCTTTTCTTAGCTTGGTGGTTGACTATCAATCTTTTGTGCTCCTTGTCTTGTAGATGTGTTACTGTCATCTGTCCTTGCATGATCAATCATCTTTCTCTTTTCATGTTGATCTTTGTATTTGACTTTCCCCTCTTTAGAAGGACACCAGTTAGATTAGATTAGGGCCTAGACTAGTGATCTCATTTTAATGTTATTATCTCTGTAGAGAACTTATTTCCAAATAATGTTTTCTTCTGAACTACTGGAAGTTAGGACTCCAGTATGGTGGTTAGGAAACAATTCATCTCACAGCAAGGCCAATTTTTGCATCTGTTGAGAGGGCTCCACAACTGGGTAGGTAGAAAATCAGTCAATGATTAGGTAAAGGAAAACCTCCCATTAACAAATGGCTAAAATGCTGTCCTTGAACATGGAGATGTATTGTTCTGATAATTGAAGTGGTGCTCCATTGATTCACCAGCCTTCTAAGGCAATACTCCTAGCATGTAATCACACTGGTTTCAGTCTTTGGAACAAACATCTAATCCCATGTAGCTCTTATGTGAACAAAATTACTAGGTCCTAGGATTCAGATATATCACTGATGCGAAATGTGGCCCTGCATTGTGAGGTCAAATTTTCTAAACTTCTTCAAAACCTGTGCATACCAGTATCAGCCACTCTTGGTAGCACAGGGCTGCAATACCAACACTAGAGGCTAAGGCTGTTGAATTACAAATTGGAGTCCAGCCTGGGGAATTTAGCAAGTCTTTGTCTCAAAATAAACAAATGAAAAGTACCGAAGAGGTTGTTCCTTGTGTAGGTTCTGTGTTCAATCTTTATGCCTCCCCACCGGGAAGAAAACACCATGCATAATAACAAAATATTTCCCTGGTGCCAGTAACCTTAGGAGAAAAAAAAATCTTTTAGAGAATGGTCATCAGCTAATGTATGTGCTTCTAGCATCTCATGCCTTTCAGAAATTTAGTGCTCATTCTGCTTGTGTGAGCCTCTTGGTTATTTGCAATGTTTTTTTCTAAATTGCACTTTAGCAGCATCACCCTCTAAGCTGCATCAATAGATTTTTAAGACCAGAAAGCAGAGGGGCAAATGAACTTCTAAAAATAACTACATTCCTGGGTCAATTAAATCCAACTTGACATCTTAGTGCATCTGTAATGCGATAATAATAATGATCTACTTCATAGGGATGTTGTGGGGAATAACAAATTAATGATTGTAAAGCACTCTGGAAGTAAAAAGGGCTCAATAAAAGCTTGTAATTATTAATGGTAATCATTTGCAACTGACCTAGAAATTACTGTTAAGTTATAGTGTGCATCTTGTAATCTATTCTTTTCTTGTAATTTTTGGACTTCCAGCCCCAAGCTCTATACTAGAGGGATTTTACGTTGTTGCACTGCAGCCCTCTTGGGCCTTGTAAGAAACTCAGAAACAGTACTGTTCTTGTGTTTCTTCCTTCTAAAATTTCCTTTTTTCTTCCCTATAGCTGAAATTGGAGATAAATTCTTTTTTTTTTCTTTTTGAGACAGCGTATCACTGTGCAGTCCAGGCTGGCCTTTAACTCACTTTGTAGCACAGGCTGGCCATGAACTTGCGGCGATCCTCTTGCTTCAGCCTCCCGAATGCTGGGATTACAGATGTATGCCACCATGACTGACCTAGAGATAAATTCTTGATCTTCCTTCCTTCATTTCTTGCTTTCTTTCTTTATCCAGTTACTATTTAGTGAGTACTGCAGGTACAGACTTTGGTTTGGGGGATGCAAAGATGGAAAAATACAGTTGTGGTGTCTGTTATCTTGGAGTTAACAATCCAACTAGAGATTAAAAGTGAAATAGGCAATTACGAAAAAAGTATTAAGTATAATGGAATATGAAAAAATAGGAAAAAAAAAGTATTAAGTATAATGGAATTTGGAGTAGTAGGGCAGAGTTGAGTTGCAAAACTACCCCTCTCTCTTCACGGCCTTCCTGCATCCTTCCACTACACTTTTCTAAAGCGGTCATGTTTATGAATAACTGCTCTAGTGTTTTGTTTACCAAGAATGGGTCATCTGATGTCCTTTTTCCTTTTTCCTCTCTTTGAAACACTGAAGGGGAAGCTGGTCATGGTGGTGCATGCCTGTAGTCCCTACTACTCAGAAGGCTGAGGCAGGAAGATCATAAGTTTGAGATTACCCTGGGCTATTTAGCGAGACCTATCTCAAAATAAAAAATAAATAGAGCTGGGAATGTAGCTTAGGCGTAGAGTGCCTCTGGATTCAATCTTTAGCACTATAAACAACAAACAGAGTGAATGTCAGTGGTAGATATTTTACCAGACCAAGGGAGACAATCTATCTCAGGTATCCAGGAAGCAGAATGAATAAATTTGTAACCAGCAGCTTAAAAAATGTGCAGTAATTTGGTAGGCTTCTGGTGCTGCCAGACCTCAAACATTCTCTATGAAGAGTATGGAAATCTTCTAGCACTTCAACTCTACCCTAGGACTAATAATATCCCTAACTAGGGACCATTCTAGTTAGAACTTTGGGTTATTAATCCTGCTGACCTTAAGGCCTGTTTATCCTGATGTCTGGTCTCTCTAACTTTCTGGATCTTGATAATTTAAAATCTTAATTACTGTCTCAGTTCCTTGGAGAAAGGATGTATCCCTTGCTCCTTCTGTACTTGTTAATGGCTAGACTTTTGTTTTGACACCCCAGCCTTTTGTTGTTGGGGAAGTCCCTCAGTCTGTATCTCCTAGTGAGTGGTTCCTCACTCAAACTGTTCTCTGGTGACTCCCAAGACATACCTCAGAGGTCAGCAATAACTTTTCTATCCCCCACCCCCGACATACAATCCTAACCCCTGACTTGTTTCAAGTAGGTTCTTAATGGTCCTTTAATCTGGCCTATTTACTCCTTTCTTCCCATACTGTCTCCCTTCCTCTGCTCTCAGCCCCATGCTTAGCCATGGAGACACAAACATTTAAACAAACAGACTTCTTTGCACAGCTTTTTTTTGAATTACCAAGCACTGGTCAGATACCTCCGAGGATTCACACAGCTCCTTTGCCTGCTAGGGTAAAATACATTTAAAGTAAGATCAGGTAAGACCAGGCCTTGAAGCAATCACTTTAAGAATTGGCTGGCCTCTAGGCACTTGCTGAAGTACTGCCTACTGGCTTAGACAAACTTGGGCCTCTCTGTTCTGGCATTTGGCTGACTATACTTCCTCTAAGCTTCGCTCAACCCTGTCTTCCCCCTTTATCCTATGAACACAGCCTGACTCAGTGAGTGGTTATTCTTTCTGTTCAGTATATCCTCTCACTGTTCCTGGTCTCTGCAATAGGCTTTGTTATGAATATTTCTTTGGGCTTAGTTTTTTCTAAGGCCTCAGAGGGAAGTACTTCACTGTAATTTCTTGAATTTGACCCTTGCATCAATCTTTGGTCCTAGCACCCATAGACTGAGACCTTGCCGCCTAGCTTTAATCTGCTTTACCTGCTGGATCTATGTTTTTTTCCTACCACAGGCTGATTCTAGCAAAGGGGAGAATGCAGTGATTGCTTACTTAAAGATGCATGAAATCCCAGAAAGAACTGAGTCACTGATGTAGGATCTGTCTGAGACCCTTACTGAGTGAACATTAAATTCTACTCTCTCAATTCAGGAAAACAAAATCTCTTTCAGCAGGCCTTGCTGAAAATTATTATTATTATTTTTTTAAAAAGTAAAGGTAAATCAGAAAGCACAAAGCCTGGCATACCATGGGTGTGCAGAAAAACTGGTGCTTTCATAATATATAAAGCTAACCCTTTAAATCTTCACAAAGACTTCTCAAATCATCGCAAGATATGCATTTTGTTTACTTTGGACTGTACCCTGCTATTATCATCATTAAATACCTCTCTGAAGCAGATTCGGGGGGGAAAAAAAGACAACAGACTAAAATCAACCAAGACTGGAAAACTTTAGGGAAAAATGTGCATTTCATCTGTTTGTTTTAATTCTACAGGACTCAGAACAATGCCACCTAACAATGCTTTATAGACAGCTGCTAGTCCCCAAGGAAGAGCATGGGTCTCTGTCTCTTTAATTGCATATTTCAGAGATCAACTTCTGGGTCCAGGTTGGCTGTGCCCCTCGCTGCTTGTTTTCTAACCTTCAGGATTTGGAGAGAATCATAATGGTGTTTTTGTTTTTATTTTGTCTTACAAATGTGACTGAGAAGGGAGGCTTGTTAGGCTATAGTTTTAGTACCATTATGAGGTTAGAGTCTAGGTCTGCTAACCTGGCAGTCGTGTGACCCCCTCAAGGACAAATTAATATAAAGTGGGCCAAGTAGAGCTGTAATTATTACCTCTTGTCAGGCCAAGAAGTGCTTGTTAGGTACAAAATGTGCAGTGGAATGCTAATAATGGTTCTGCAGTCTGAGCATTTAGGAATACTATAGGTACACAAATTGCTTTGGGTTGATGTAACTCTTTCTTGTGAAATTTTCTCCCAGGAGAAATGTAAAAGGAAAATGGTACGTCTTTCTTAGGCCTGCTATTCAGATGAAAATGGCATTGCTTTCACAGAATAAGCCACAAGACAGGAGCAGGGGATGGTTATGTTACAAGTATTTATCTACATTGTATCATTTGATATTAAGGATAGCAGAGAGCAAGTATATCTGAAAGTTATTATAAAGATTGGATTGCTATTAATTATACAATATAATACAATACAATATTATTTATTGCTTATTTTTGTAATGTAGATCTTCAGGAGATATAGTAAAGATATGGTGGGCTTTTTTTAAAATATCAACTAAGGAAGATAGAACCTCCATTTCTCAACTGCTGTAGATTCCTTGTCCCTTCAGAGTATCCTGCAGTTAAGTAGTATGGCATTTCTTGGATATATAGGTGATGAAATTACTCTAGATTTGTAAAAGATCATTCTTTACAAATAGATCTTAATGTTTTTAAATATTTCCCTTCCTTTAAAAATTAAGAAATAATTTTTGCACATACCTCTAAATGTTTGAATAAAAATTGTTTCGATTTTATTGATCCCTACATTATGGGACCATACACTCTAAGATTCACCTGTCTTGACTCTGTTGAATGATTAATCATGGATCTGGAATCTATAACACATCAGTTCTAGTAAATTTCTCTCTGCTGTCTTGTTTCAGGTAGATTTAAGCAAGTACTTTCACCTCTCTGGGCTTTTGTTTGTTCCTCCAGGAAGTGTGGATTAACAGAGAAAAAGCTACTCAATTGCTTGGCTAGCACCATTACCCATGCAGTATAGTAGAAAGTGCCCCAAAGTGCCAATGGGTCTCCTTTGAGATTGTGACATAGGTTGGTGTTGAGGGAATGGAAAAGGTTCTGGTGGATATCATACCAAGCATGTACCCATTTTTTCCTCACTACCTGCTCAGAGAACACCTCAACCTTCTCCACAAACCTGTGGCCTCAGATCAGGTGGAAATCTGGCCTTTTCAGTTACTTCAGCAGAAGCAACCATTGCAGCAGTGCCCTTTAGATTCAGGAATCCATTGAATTCCTAGTTCCTGGGCATTGGCTCATAGGATTCACTAGAATGTGTCATCTTTCATGCATGAAGCTTTGTAGCCATCTCTGAGACTGATGCAAATTGAGGTGGTGACTCTATTTTTCCACCAAAGACCTCTCTCCTTCATTTTCTTCTCTCATTCTCTAGTCCTTTGAATGTAAGCCTTCAGCAAAATGATCACCACAGAATAAAATCAGTGAACAGACATAATAAGCTCAAAATTTTACACTCAAAAGGCTACTCAGTTCTGTACGTTTTTGAAAGCCTGGTCTTTTTGTTTGCATATGGTAAAAACATTACCAGGCATGAACAAAATCTCCTTTGCTCTAATTTTTCCCCATCAACAGTTAGCTTTGTGAATAACAAAACAATTAACAAATTTTAAGATAAAAAGGATTTTTCAAAGCTTCCAATAATGGATAACATCAACTCACATCTTGAATACTGTAAGTTTTCTTTTCTCCTGAAATCCAGTTTTCTATTCCATTTGAAACATTTTAGACTTTGACTTGTATCATATTGTGCATGGAATTAGAGGGGATCCTTACCACTGAACTACAGCCCCGAACTGATTCAGCAAATTGAAGGGATTCAACAAAGGTGGCTGGGCTGGTGGACAGCTTTCACTGACCTTTCTAGGAACCTAAAGGTAGCAGGCTTGCCTTTGGGTTTCTACCAGCTTTTTATTTAGGAAATCCAAATAAAGATCTCTCCCACTTGACAGTGTATACACTCAGGAGACTTCTAAACATTATCTACAAAGACAAATCAGGCAAGAGATAGTAAATAGCGTCCAATAAATAGAACCTGTTTGGATGAATGCCCTCTGGTGTTGTGTATTTGGATGTAGCACTTGGAAATTTTCCTCATTGGTTAATAATTTATGAGCTATTTGAACATACTGAGGCACAAATGAACAACTTTAAGCAGAAAAAATTGTTTATCCTTATTTGCCCACTGTTATTCCCTTCCCTTCATCATACAGTATTCTAATGGCATCCTTCAAAAGTAGTCCCAGAGTCTAAAATGACATTAAAAGATGGTTTTTAGTGCCCTGATAAATTCTACACACTCCTCATGAAAGTCCTCATGGTTGACAATATTGGATATTTTTTAATTACTCTATTTAAAGAGAAAGGGTAAGAATGTTTCTAAAAAACTTACTTTTTGCTTGAAAAGAAATATTTCTAATTGTACAGACAAGCAAAAGGGGGAGTAACTTCGATTCTATTTTCTTGGCAGACACGGGCTTTCCCTTGGGCTCTGGAAAGTTCAGCCCAAATCTCTGCTTATTCTGGGATGGGGCTGACTGGGCTGCAGAAACAACAGTTCTCCTTTGTTGTGAGACAGGCCTTCAGCTGCACAAGCTGACAAGTCCCCAGTGAACCCATCAAGCAGGCAGAGGAAAAACTTCCTGCAGAGCCATGGGGAGAAAAATCAGGAGACCAGAGTTTTAATTAATCAACAGAATAATTAGATTAAGGGACAAGGTGGTTTGCAAAGGTGCACAGCATACAATTATGTAGAAAATAAATGAGGAAATCATGAAAATTGGTAGGTGGAGGATAAAAGAAATAAAGGGAAGGAGTCAGATGAAAAAGGGAAGTTGGTACCTCAAACCCAGATACAAAGTCCAGAACACACAGAAGGGGCAACAGGACTCATTATGCTAAAAGAAGACCACAACAAGCCCTGGATCATGGATTCATATCTATCCTCCATTTTCCAACCAGAAATAAATTTCTTTCATAGGTTTTATCTGGAATATTGGCAGTAACATATTTGCATCAAGCACAGTTGTGGTTTGGGGTTTTTGCAAGGGGAACAATATAATATGGGACACATATTTTATGAGATTATTTGTAATAGTCACCAAAGAATCATATACAAAAGAGAGTGCAGGAAATTTGTCCACACACTAAAGACCGAAGAATCCAGCTGAGGGCCTGGATCCCATGATAATGTCCTCTCTGAGTTTAGCTGAAGACCTAGAGCCCATAACAATGCCTTCCACAAGTCCAGCTGGAGGCCTAGAGCCCATGACAATATCACATGTAGGTTGTTTCACAGATCTGCGCTGGGAAGGCCCAAAGGTCAGTGGTGGAAGCTAGAAAGTCTGTGCCAGTGGGATGAAGGATCTATGATAGCAGGCTGAGGGATCTGCACTGGAGCCAGGAAGCAACACTCAAAGTAAGAACCAGAGCTCCCCCAAAAAGTACCACAGCCACCCTCAGCAACTGTGAGGTCCCAAGCTTCTCTAATGATGAGAAATGCTGAGCTCTCATCAGGAAAGCCAGCATGACAAGCTTCTCCAGGAGACTGAGCAGTGCATCATCTTCTCCTCCGGAGCCAGAAAGTGATGCTCAAAATGAGGACCCGAGCTCCCCCAAAGTGAACCGTAGCCATTCTCAGTGACTACGAGGTCCCGAGTGCATCCTCCAATGAGAACAGCTGAGTTCATCAGGAAAGCCAGCATGACAAACTCCTACAGGAAAATCAACAGCTCCCTACAGCTTCTCAAAAGCTTTCAACAGCCTCCCAA